TATTTTATAATAACCAGGGTACATATGTTTAGTTTACATACTGTTGCTATGTTCTCCTTATTAAACTTTGAAGTCCTAAACGATGTGCAAGTCGTTGAATTATGGGAAAACTCGACTGATCGAGGAATATCCATAAAGATGTTTTCCAAAAATGATATTTCATTTTTCTTGGCATAATCAATCAGTATACACCTCAGTGACATCCATCTGTTTCTAGTATTATTAGTTTCACATTTTGTAAAATAATTAAATGAAATTCACAGCAGAGTTGAAATAAAATAACATAACAACAATAAACATGTCGCGGAAATACATTAAAAAGAATACAATAATGTTTGTTTCATTTTAATATGGTAATAGCGGGTGTATAAAATAGAAGAATCTGGTTAATCATAAAATATATTGACTTTTTATTGCTGGTCAAGATTGAACAGTTTAAATTATTTAATAACGGAAAATGTTTCACATAGACCTCCAGCTATGAGATCCCTTATTTTTCACATGAATTATGTAAAATTGACCGCTATTCGACAAAAGATTGCGCAAACTTACGTAATCGGAGAAAACCGACAATCAATATACCCTGCATGATTGCAGGATCCATATACGAGTTTAATCAGCAATGGCTCCGATTAACGCAATACAGCACGTGGCTGTTACACAATATTATGTCATAAATGAGATCGCGAAGAAAAAAAATGAAAATTTGGGAATGTCATAATTTCCATAACATCTTTGACAAAAATCATTTAAAGGTGTAAAAAATAAATAACCAAAACAAAATAAATAAACAAATAAATAAATTAATTAATTGATTATAAACAAAAAAGTAAATAAATATGTGATAAATAAATCAACCAATCAATAAAAATAAATGAATCAATAATGGAATTATCATCGGAATGAATAAATGGATTTGGTGAATGAATGAATGAATTACTCAACCCATTCAGATATTGTTTTATTTATAAGACGTATATATTAACATACGCGTTTCTTTGGACAGTAAACTTTAAACTATGTGTACTTAAGACATGAAATATGCTGGAAGTGTTAAAAAACATGCCTACGGGCGTTAATCACACCGTATATAGACTACAAAACGAATCAAGCGGCCTTGAGCTAGAATACTGTCTTGCGTTGTATATCTTTATAAATACAGTAAAGATATATTTTGATTTATATCTTCGTTAGTTGTGTATACATGCTACAGATTCTGACAAAGATCTGTCGATGTTTTACACGTTCTATGCAATCAGGATGCAGTTAACATGTAAATAAATTCAGCAAATATACATTGAGTTAAATCTTTAATACACTATTTGATGTTTTTCTGGCAAATTTAAGATTTCCTCTTATAGGAAAAGGGAAGTTCAGAAGTAAATCCTTATTCTCCATTTCTATATAAGAATCCGTATTTGCAAGAATACCGATTTTCATATTTTAGTAATATACAGACGTGTAAATAAAATTCCGTATTTTAGTCAATACGGACTTTGTGCAACATTCCCGAACATTTCGAATGTACGGATCATCGTATATAAGTCATATACGGACTTGCATAATGTACGGTCCAGGACACCTCCGTATACTATGTTTTTACCCGTATATTAATGATATACATACTCGGCCCGATGAATTTTCGTATTCTTTGTTCTTTAGTAAACCAGTCACATTTGAGGCTTAATTGTGGATTCCACTGTTCTTGATGAATTATATACTGTCTTCAACTTTAAACATTCACACTATCTAAGACTAATGAGGCTCAAAATATAATAGTTTAGCCATCTACATTTCAGAAATCTTCATTCTGTTGTAACACTGTTTAAATTCACCACTTTAAAAACTCCCGACTGCGGCTGGGTATGACATCTCATCTTTAATCCATCCGCCAACAAATGAGTTCCTGGAGAATACACAAAAAACAACTGTTAAAGTCATCATATAACACACAAAAACATACAATAAATACACTTTAATTACGACCAATCTAACAAAAGATGACTTAAATTGGACCAATTCAAAATTATAAAGAAGTACATTCTAGACTACAACGGGTTTGGTCTAATTCCGTACCGGGTTGAGACCTAAATGAATCCAAAATTTAAGTTAAGCTAAAATAAAATATAGGTAGCGGGGGTGTTTTTTAATCCATGTTTAACTGCCTATTGTGAATCGCAACAACAACAAAAATCAGCAAACAGGGATGCACAATTAGTTCCCATTGGAATGTCTATTATCTATTTTAAAGCTGTATTACTACACTTGATATAGATTTTGCCTATTAATAACGAGAGTACTTTACAAACTTTGTCACAAGTCCACAAATGTATATTGTTTAATGATAACAATTCAGAAAAAGACAGGAATAAAGATCAACAAGGTAAAGGCAACGTTCACAGGACGCATCTCCCCGACACACCCAAGTAGGGCACCCAGAAGGCACAAAAAAAATCTGGAGTAGACATAAGGCCGTAGAAAGGAGAGGGACATGTAATGTTTGAACTGATATAATTTAAAACGAGCAACAAGCAAATGACCTACAAGGGCCCGACGAAACAAGACAGAAGACGAACATTAGGACAATTCAGTTCAAATGGGTTTAAGGAACTGTCCATCATAGAATCTCCCACTTAGTCCGTCAGATGTAATTAAAAGAGTAGCGTCCAACTGTAAAAGGGTTAAACACCAAGCATGCGGTATGCCTTAAAATAATTGGGTCATAACCTGTTTTAATAAATCGTATTATAATTTTAGTGAAGACGACAGAAAAATTACTATGACCCATGATCCTACGAAGTTAGTAAACCACATCTCAATTGGAATCAGGTTTGCTAGAACCTAGTCGTAAAAGAGATTTTAAAAACTTAATCTGAATAACGATGGTAAAACTGAGTAAAATATTTAAGAAATGTATGATAACGATTACCTTGTTTAAGAAGTTTGTAAGTAATAAATAAATTGCGTTCATTAAAATCATCAACACGACTGCAGGGCTAGCAAATTTTATTAATTGAGAAATATACACCCCATATGATGTAGCATGAGGTAAATCACCATCTTAATGTGGATAGTAAACAATATTAAAATCATAATCAACTCTTCTTTTTTATCGTGGATTTTAGCTACTATAGTAATGTTAATGATAGAAATGTTTAAATCTAAAAAGGATGTAATAACGTCTGAAGAGTTAAATTTATTCAATTTAGGTTCACTGGGATTTATTTTAGAAACAATTGATCGAAATAAGGATTACCCACGTTAAGGATGTCATCTAGGTAGCGGGAAGTGTTATTAAATGCATATATAATTTCCTGATGTGAAGTAGGGGAAAAACTTAACATAAAATCCCTCTCATAGCAGTAAAGAAATAAATTAGCTATCAGGGGTTTAAACTTTAAACTTATCTTTAATTTCAGTTGAATTTTTAACAGACCAAAAAGATGTTTGTATTTTCATAAACTCGTTAACGTGCTATATACAGTATCTTATTGCATGTGCCTTGATGGTAGTCAGACAAGAAGCAATTAAAATAGAAAGAATGCTGGTAGTAAAAGATGTGGAATTAGCAATGAAGCGGGCTTTATATGGATGTTTATGTAATTTTTAGAATCCAGTACATGATAGGAAGTATACTTTAAAGTAAGAAATACTAGAAATATGACTGTTCTCAATATCTCTTTCAGACAGAACGGTTTTAGAATAAACATTTGTGCTGTTAAGTTCATTTGTAAAACATTTATATAATGAATATGTCATACGATAATTATGTTATTGGCCGCCTTGAAAACCTTCTCTGAATAACAAGCAATAAAATATTTCCCTTGCACAAGCTGTTATTTGAACACACACCAATTATATGTACAAAGAAATATAGAAGGAAATATATGACATGATCATATTAAAATGAAAGAAAAACGTAGACCATTCCAGAAGAAAAACAAACATTTTGCTTAAATGAAGATATTTTTTTTAAAAAGAATGTAAACGAAGTCGTCATTTGCAAGTGTGCTTTTATGATTTGTACAACGTTATTTAATTTTCTGACCACAAGAAAGTTTTGCTATGATTCGAAAGGACATCATAAAAAATAACTAGAACTTTCACTGAAAGTAATTCATACCCTAACTATTTGGAAATTGAATTTTCTGAAGCAAGTTTGAACTAATTTTATATTTTATGATGTTGTACCTGTGAAACAATAATAATTACAATTAACTGCCGTGCTAAAAGAGCATAATCATCTGCTGACCTTTATTTTGGTAAAGAAAACAAAAAGGGAGATATAGAAGTAAAAAAATAGTCTTCTCAGGTCAATTTGATAAGAAAGGACTGAATGATGTAAACCTACAATAATTATTTAATTTTAAGATCAAGAGAATGGGTTATACATTAAAAAAAGAATCACACCAACATTACATGAAAACTGCTCTAGTACCGGCAGCTCTGTACTCAATCTTAAATATACTGATATTGCATTAGATATATGCTAGATTTTTCATGTTGCATCTGGTGAGCTGATTTTTTGTGCATCATCGTTAATGATAATATGAATAAAAACAAAATATTGTATGGTTTAAATATTTAAGGCAATGTCTTTCAACGTACAATATAGATAACAACACCTACATGGGCGATACGTATACAATAGTAAAGCAATAGTATTATAAGCCTCAATGCCGTTCACGAGGCCTATTTGTTTGTTATAATATATGTATTCCTCCATCAAATCTGAAATGTCGCTTTATGATTTATACTGTGACATTGTGACTTAAAACCAAATCAAACAAACATATTTTCTACAATGTCATTAATTATTAAACAAAGAGTGAAGGACCGACACCGGAATCATTTGGGGCACCGTAACATATTGGTAACACCCCATAAGAATTTGTCTTAAGATGTCACAAAGCATATTCATTGCGTAAAACCTAAACTTAATTATAAAGAGTTTTACCGAGCAAACAAAATCACAAGTGACAATGAAAATAGATAAATACCAAGAAATCTTTTTCTGGTCAGCCAATGATTTTCCTTTCCACATTTCCCTGAAATTAGAGGATGAGTGACCATTCTTTTGCATAAATCTGTTGTCCCACATTTAGGAAATCCGGCCAGATAAAAGTATGGTATGCACTGAAGACGCAATCTTGGTTTGTTTAAGTATATTGTCGTCCAAAAACATGGGTTTCGAAACGTTTTTAAGAATGGCAAGTTCTCCTACAAACAAAAAATACCACAAATGTGTTAAGTTATTTAATGCGTATGAGCAAATATACAATAAATAACGGACGGTTAAAAGAATATCATGTGTTCCATTTTTCAATATAAAAAAGCTGTTGTTTATTTTTTATACGTTTTGATCAGCATCGAGAGCGACTTGATTTTCAATAACCTAATCTATTTAGTTTTATTTAGTTTGCAGGAAGTAACAAACAGTAATTTTCATAGCATAATACATCAAAGTTAAGAAATGTTGCAGTCTTTCCTATGAAACAAGTAACAGAAATATAAAATGGCACCTAATGTCAATCTTAATCACATATAGGCATTTCAATCAAATCTTCATTTATAAATCTTCGTTTATACGTTTTACAGCAAATAATGCAAAAAATGCAAACATTGCAAATAATGCAAATGATAGCAACAATGATAATAAGGATATAGTAATAACAATAAGATAATTTCTTCTTTTTGGATTGGTCGAATTGTCTTGGAAACATAGAGTCAAATTATTGCTGTTTTTATTTTTATTGAACACGATAATGTCACACTAACTATTTCTTCTGGAGTTGCTTCCATACGTTCAAAAACAATGTCTTCTGAATTGAAAGATTTAATTATTTGCTGTTTCTGCATATGTTCTGAAAGAAAGAAATCCAAACTTGAAAATATATTTTGTATGATCAGACGAGTAATGTTTTGAACTTATTATATCTGAAATACAAAGACAGTTTCACAAAATTGTGCGAAACACATTGTATAAATCAAAATATTTATGATTGAATTATGATATTTTCGTTCATACTTAGCACGCAATCAAAATGAAATAGAAATGTTATTATAAAAATGTACTATAAGATAACCTTTGACATGAAATAAAGTTTTGTTATAACAACTGCATCATGTCTAAAAAACAGTTATTTTTATAAAGATTATATAAATTCCGATTCAAAAGCCCTTTTTTTAAATTCATTTGCAATTTGCCTATGTAATGATTTACCTTTTTATACGTGTATTGCTAATTGCTGTGTTAGGGTAAGGTTTGATTTTACGAATGTATTTTAGTTAGATTGTGTTTAAAGCTGTAAGAGTGTTTAAAGCTGTAAACTTATTAGAACACACTCGAATCCGTTCCTGGAACAAATCAGTATTAAGCCTTTAGTGTAAAATTTCTTGACCAATGAAAAGACTTTCCGTTGACTAGCTTTGAAACATCACGGTCAGCAATCCTAGCAACGAGGTCTTAAAAGGCGAAGATGAGAGAGAGAGCATTAAAATGAACAAACAACATTTTTGATGTGACCATTAAATATGCAACTCGCTGAGTTATAACAAAACAAATCGGGCACAATTTAGCTTGACATAATGTACAGAAACATTTATTTCTGATCTGGTGTTAGAAGCAACGCTTTTTATCATTTTATAAAATCACTTTCGTTCGGATGCGCTACATTATATCAAGAGGGTACGCCTCGCATCCGAACTCCATTGTAGGGAAAATGTGTTTTGAAACAGCATAAAGTAATACGTAAAAGCATCACCACAAAATAGCAAGTAGCAAAATCACTACATTGAAGTTTAAGATGCGTGATTTTGCAACCACGTGGCCTCATATCGGGTAATGTTGCATTTGTACACTTACGGTATAAAAAAGGACTCACCTTCATAAAATTAATTGCATACAAAGAAAAACTGTTTCCTTTTTATCCAAATAAAAAAATTGATTTGTCTTTCAAACCCACCTCAAATTAAATACGTCATACTATTTTTCTAATTGATTGATACAATCCATCATTTGGTTAAAAAGAGGAAAGAGGAAAGAACAATCACAACTCGAGGGTGTTCAATTCCATTAGAAACAGGCATTGGCTGGTTTCAAATGGAATCAATTGCTTCAGTGTTGTTGTTATTTTGGTAATTCCCTATCTTACCGAATTATTTATTTTCTGACTTACCATAACACACCAAAACACTTAGTAAAATCATAAGTGCAGCCAAACAAGCATGTGCGACTTAGGTGGTTGACGTTATGCAGTTTATATTTGCAAAGAGTTTCTGCTTATCATCTTAATTTGATAAGATATTCATTGAAAATAAATTCAAATGAGAATTATCATCAAGAAGCCAGGTCATTACAAAATATGAATGAATATTGTGGAAAATGATATCATATTAGTGTTTTCGAAGAATTAAGAGCATACTTCAAAAATTAAAAGTTGATGTTCCATAGTTGACAAATAACATTTTAAATTTGCAAAGATGCACATATCAAGTTTATTTGACCAACTATTCAATTACAGGCCTTTAAATGAAATTCCTTACCAAAAGCATCGTTGTCAAAAGAAAAACACAATTTTCACCATGCAAAGTGACATAAAATATGTTTACGAATAATTCAGCGAAATTATAAAGTGTTCTGCTTTTAGTAACATAATGTAAACGATCGGTATTTTGTCAATAAGAAAAACTCAGACGAATGTATAGTGAAGTTAACTTCGTTAAATGAATTCATTTTGACTACTTTGATACTCTTTGAGATTAGCTCTCTTAGTTCCATTTACTTGGCCCTAATAAAAATTTAATGCTGTTGTGTTAAAAGAGTAGTGAAAGTCGTGTATGTGTAAGAACAAGTAAAGGAAGGTAACAAAACCCTTTTTAAAATAAGATTTTTAAGCACTGCCATCATATCCTTTTCAAACTAACTAGTATAAACATTTTAAATCAAAGTCATTTCTGAGTGAATATCAGCGATTGTCATGGAATCCTATTTTGAAAACTATTTTATCTTAATATCTGATACTGCTTTGCGAGAACAACATTAAATATCTTATATAGATATAATAAGTGTCAATTAATTATGATAAAATTTCTAAGAATCATCAGTTCTATGCAAATCAAACATCATAATATGCTGACTTACCTAAATGTTTCTCACAAGTTTTGATATGGTTAAACAAAGATAGTAAAACATACATTTCCACCATTAATATTAAAATACTGAGTTTTTTTAAATCCATTGCAAAAACATGTAAAACCTCTTTTGTGAATACAAACTGAAGACACACAATCTATGTGTCTATATTAACTTAACACAATATTTTAAAATAAAGACTTTACATTCTTTTGAACGACTCGCAAAATATTTCACGCAATATTAATTACAGACTCGCATGGAAGTGTGTTTAAACCCTTTAGATAAAATGTGGAACACTATTTCAAGCCATGACAAACATAGAGTCTACATAAATCATGACTTTAGAAATCTCTTTGTTGGGAAAATCGATAGTTACAAGAAATTGTTTAGCTCATTTCCAATAAAATTGAAGATTTCAATACATATTATTTAAAAATAATGCTGCTTGAAGACTTACAAAAACATTAATATACCATTGAAATCAATCAGTTATTTATCGATTTGTTTCCAAATTTAAGTTGCTTAAACACAGAACACTAAAATTATAGTCATACTCAATCAATAATTATTTTGCCATGCCAGGCTGATGTGCCAAATATGAAAAACAAGACCATTAAGGAAGCCCAGCAGTACATCAAAAATAAGTAGGACATCGCATGAGGCAAAGCACGGATGGGAAATAATAGAATTATTAGAAAGACGACCAAATTTTCCTTCAAAAATAAAGGGATATAAGGGAGGGGACTTGAAGGGACACAACAAAGATAATGTTTGTAAAGGTTGCAGCCTAACAGTCTGAAGTTGGCAGCCTAGCAGCCTGGCAAATAAATATAAGGATAGTACAAACATGAAAACATGTCGGAAATGAATCGGTAACACATACTTAGACCATTCCACGTCTAATTCAGTATCGCAATCTTTATTTTTTAAAATATTGAACATTGCTTTTTTTTCTTTAGACACTTCGAACTTTGTGAAGTTAGCAGCCTAGCAGCCAAGCAGCCTAGCAGCCCAGTAGCCTAGCAGCCAATCAGCCTGACAGCATAGCAGCATGGCAGCCGAAAGAAAATGTTTGTAAAGGTTGCAGCCTAACAGCCTGAAGTTGGCAGCCTAGCAGCCTAAATAAATATAAGGATAATACAAACATGAAATCCGTAGGAAATAAATAGGTAGCACGTACTCAGACCATTCCACGTCATATTTTAGTATCGCGATATAGATTTTTTATTGACTCTTCGAAATTTGTGAATTTAGCAGCCTCTTAGCCCAGCAGCCTAGCAGCCTAAAGAAAACGAAGGATAATATTAACATGAAAACCGTCGGAAAAGAATTGAAATCACATTATTAGACCATTCCACGTCTTATTTCAGTATCGCGATCTTTATTTTTTTTATATATAGAAATTTTTTTTGACAATTCGAAATTTGTGAAATTAGCAGCCTTTGAGCACAGCAGCCTAGCAGCCTCGCAGTCTGGCAGCCTATTAGCTTAAAGAAAACTTAGGATAGTACAAACATGAAAACCTGTCGGAAATGAATCGGTAGCACATACTTAGACCATTCCACGTCTTACTTCAGTACCGCGATCTTTAATTTTAAAATATTGAACATTGTTTATTTTTTCTTTAAAACCTTCGAGATTTGGGAAGCTAGCAGCCTAGCAGCCTGGCAGCCAAGCAGCCAAGCAGCCAAGCACCAAGCAGCCAAGCAGCCTAGCAGCGTAGCTGCCTAAAGAAAAATAAGGATAATAAAAACATGAAAATCGTCGGAAATGAATAGGTAGTACGTACTTAGACCATTCCAAAGCTTATTTCAGTATCGCGATCTTTATTTTTTTTCTAAATATTCAACTTTGCCTTTTTTATTTTGACGTTTCGAAAGTTGTGAAGTTTAAAGCCTAGCAGCCCAGCAGCCTAGCAGCCCAGCAGCCTAGCAGCCTGACAGCCTGGCAGCATCGCAGCCTAGCAGCCTAGCAACATAGCAGCCTAGCAGCCTTAAAAAAGTAAGAATAGTACAAGCATGAGAACTCTCGAAAATACATTAGAAGCACTTCTTTAGATCATTCCACGCCTTTTTCAATATTGTGATTTTAATTTTTAAGATGTTGAATTTTATCTTAACAACGTTCTGATGCTTCGAACTTTGAGAAGAGTTAGCAGCCTGGCAGGATAATAAATAACATAAAAACCGTCGAAAATGAATCGGTAGCAGATACTGAGACCATTCCCGTCTTATTTCAGTATCCCGATCTTTATTTTTTAGATATAGAACATTGTTTATTTTTTCTTTTGACACTTCGAAATATGTGAAGTTAGCAGTCTAGCAGCCTAGCAACCTAGCAGCCTAGTAGCCTAGCAGCCTAAAAAGAAATCTAAGGATAATACAAACATTAAAACCGTCGGAAATGAATTGGTAGCACATACTTAGACCATTCCACGTCTTATTTCAGTATCGCGATCTTTATTGTTTTGTAATAAAAACTTTTTTGACACTTCGGAACTTGTGAAGTTAGCAGCCTAGCAGCCTCGCAGTCTGGCAGCCTAGCAGCCTAAAGAAAACTAAGGATAGTACAAACATGAAAACCTTTCGGAAATGAATCGTTAGCACATACTTAGACCATTCCACGTCTTATTTCAGGAGCGCGATCTTTATTTTTTAAAATATTGAACATTGCTTTTTCTTCTTTTGACTCTTAGAAATTTATGAAGTTAGCAGCCTAGCAGCCCAGAAGCCTAGCAGCCTAGCAGCCTTAAGAAAACTAAGGATAATACAAACATGAAATCCGTAGGAAATAAATAGGTAGCACGTACGTAGGCCATTCAACGTCTTATTTTAGTATCGCGATCTTTATTTTTTTAAATATAGATTATTTTTTTGACTCTTCGACATTTGTGAATTTAGCAGCCTCTCAGCCCAGCAGCCTATCAGCCCAGCAGCCTAGCAGCCTAAAGCAAACTAAGGATAATACAAACATGAAAACCGTCGGAAATGAATCGGTAGCGCATACTTAGACAATTCCACGTCTTATTTCAGTATCGTGATCTTTATTTTTTTAAATATTCAATTTATTTTGACGCTCCGAAATTTAAGTAGAGTTTGCAGCCTAGCAGGATTGTACAAACATGAAAACCGTCGGAAATGAATCGGTAGCACATCCTGAGACCATTCCACATCTTATTTCAGTATCGAGATCTTTATTTTTAAAAAATATTGAATATTGTTTTTGTTGTGTTTTTTTTGATACTTTGAAATTTGTGAAGTTAGAAGCCCAGCAACCCGCAGCGTAGCAGCCTATCAGCCTAGCAGCATATCAGCTTAAAGAAAACTAAGGATAATACAAACATGAAAACCGTCGGAAATAAATTGAAAGCACATACTTAGACCATTCCACGTCTTATTTCAGTATCGCCATCTTTTTTTTTAAATATTGAACATTGTTTTTTTTTTTGTCACTTCGAAATTTGGAAGCAGCCTAAAAACCTAGCAGCCTGGCAGCATGGCAGTCTAGCAGCCAGGCAGCCTGGCAGCCTAACAGCCTAAAGAAAATTAAGGATAATATTAACATGAAAACCGTCGGAAACAAATTGGTAGCACTTACAGGGTTAGGGTTAGACCATTCCACGTCTTATTTCAGTATCGCGATCGCGATATTTTTAAAATATTGAACATTGTTTGTTTTGTTTTATTGACACTTCGAAATTTGTGAAGTTAGAGTCTTTTAGCTCAGCAGCGAAGCAGCCTAGCAGCCTGGTAGCAGACCAGCCTTAAGAAAACTAAACATAATACAAACATGAAAACCGTCGGAAATGAATTGGTAGAACATACTTAGACCATTCCACGTCTTATTTCAGTATCGCTATCTTTATTTTTTTGAAATATAGAACTTTTTCCTTCTTTTTTATTGACACTTCGAAATTTGTGAAGTTAAAAATTACCAGTTCAGAATGTCGGAGAAGTAAAATGTTCACGTCCTTTAGGAATAAAAATGGTATTTAGATTAAAACATTGATATTAAAATACGATGACAATTGATGATTGTATAGCTCAATAGATACAGCAATGGTATGTCACGCTGACGAATCGAATTCGATTCCCGACTGATGCAATCGTTTATTTTAAATTTATTTACTTCAAATGTGCTTTTTAATTTCTCGTCATTCATAGGATCTGGAATCCCTTTTTTCTCGAATCATTTTTCGAAGAACATTTTTAAACACTCATTCCAACTTTCAAAGGTCAAAATTTCTGATAGATCCCATTGCCGATACTGACTCTGCGGGAGCATGGGTATTCTCCACTCAAGTAACGAATAGTCAGCCTGATCAGGCTGTAACATAGGTTGTAGTGGTGAGGAGGAAAAATGTGAAACATCTAATGATACATAGACAGTAAGACAGTTTATAATTTTTAAATGGGCCTAGTTGTCGTCTTAACTGTCACACAAAGCTTAATTTGATGAATACTGAGTCATGTTTGTTTTCTATCAAGAAAATTACAATGGAGGAAAAAGAACTGTGTCTTATGTAATTAGTGAGGAAACGCCAAAAAAAAATTAAAAGTGGCAAAAAGTCAGCGGTTAAAGAAGACATTTCGGTGACCAGAAAAACACGGTTTGCAAAGGAACATCCATGTTGTGTTATGAGGTTACGAAATATGCATTTAGGAGTATAGATGAACATGCCCGGTCAGTAATCTTCAATAAGATATCGGTATCGACCTATCGTGTGTAAATGGTCATTGTAGTAGCTAGAAGTATATCTCACCGAAAAAACTTTTTTTTATCATACCTCGTATGCAGCAACTTTACAAACTGTCCTGTTCATATCCCCCATGCAAGCTTTACTACTCAAGTCATTCTTAAACTTTTTGCGTAGCTTTTAACCACACAAACGTGTAGCTAGCTAAAAGGATCGTGTATGTCCCACTTTGGAGAAGCTGCGCAGCCAAGTAGCAGGTACAGTGACCGAGGATGTGACACTATGACAGCACTGCGGTATCACGTACTTCTTGCACAAAAGATGATGATAAAACAGAAAAATTAAATAAGTATATACATATGATTAAATCATATATTTGACATACATAAATAGACGAATTATAAGTTTTATTATAAGCATATTTTCATAAAAATTAAGAAACAATCAATACTTTAAAGAATTAAGAAGAATTCAGGAATTTTTTTTTCCACCGATATTATGATTCTTATGATCGTGATTATAAAGATTGTTGATTTTATGAGTTCACATACGCTGTTGTTACCTTTATCTAATTTCGAACTTTCTTACCCTATATAACTTCCTG